TTTCACCTATTTCTCCGGTGCCGCCCCACCCCCACCCCCACTTCCCCTCTGGTAACTACATTTATTCTTTGTATTTAAGAGTCTGTTTTTTTGTTTCTGTCTCTTTCTTTTTTTGTTGTTTTGTTTCTTAAATTCTACATATGCTACTTACTTCATTTAGCATTATACCATCTAGATCCATCTGTGTTGTTGCAAATGACAAGATTTTATTCATTTTTATGGCTGAGTAATAATCCATTGTGTGTGTATACACACATACATACATATACTACATTTTCTTTATCCATTCATCTATTGATAGACTCTTGGGTTGCTTCCATATTTTGACTCTTAATAAATGCTGCAATAATCATATGGGTGCACATACTTTTTTGAATTAGTATTTTTGTAGTATTTGGGTAAATATAGTAATTCTATTTTTAATTTTTTGAGGAATCTCTGTACTGTTTTCCACAGTGGCTACACCAGTTTTCATTCCCACCAGCAGTGCACAAGGGTTCCTTTTTATTTACATCCTCACCAACACTGGTTGTTTGTTGTGTTTTTGATTTTAGTCATTCTGACAAGAGTGAGGTGATAGCTCATTGTGGTTTTGATTTGCATTTCCCTGACGATGAGTGATGTGAAGCATCTTTTCATATATCTGTTGGGCATCTGTATATCTTCTTTGGAGAAATGTCTGTTCATGTGTTCTGTCCATTTTTAATTGGAAATTTTTTTTATGTTGAGTTGTATAAGTTCTTGATATATTTTGGATACTAACCTCTTACTGTATATATCATTTGCAAATATATTTTCTCATTGAGAGAAGAATTTATCTTTGGCAAAGAAACTTGTACCAAACTTACCCATCTTCTCTACCATACCATTCATTGGGAATATTCTTTTGAACAAAATCAGGTTTTATAATAGGGTGAAGTAAACATGAAATTTTAATGCAAGATGAAGATACTCATAAGTGTCACTGAAATTCGATAGAGTTGGACTATTACTATGATATTTGGCTATAAGATACATAGATATATCTGTATATGGAAATCTGTGACTCTGAGTTAAGGCTTTTGGTTGTAAGTGACAAAATCCAACTCAAACTAGTATGGGGGGGAAATGGGAACTTCTGTAATTTATGTAACCAGAATGTGGGAAGACTCAGGTAACTGGCATAGGGACTAGTACACTCAGGACCTTTGTCTTTCTCTTACCTCTCAGGCTTGCTTATCTCTGTATGTCAGGTTTCGTTTCTAAGACCACGTTTCCCCACCATACTAGAATAACTCCTAGTAAGACCTTAACATGAACTTTCCTAACCTCATAGTAGATAAGGAAAGATACTTCCCTAGAACTAGTAAAGAAAATCATGAGAAAGAACTATTGATTGATCTAGCTTGGAACAGATAATAGTCTTTAGATCAGTTACTGTGGCCAGGAGACCAGGTTAAGCAAGGACATGATAGCTCCCATTTTGGCCCACATACTTAGATTGAACAAGAAAGGAGGGAGCAGTTAAACAATAAAACTAATATCCAAGTGTAACTGTAGTCAGTCACATAGCTTGAAATATCATCTATGTTTAGTAATTCCAAACTCCAGTTCTCTAGCCCTGAGATCTGTCTTGTTTCAGACGATCTTCTTGACAGCGTCACATGGATGTCTATTTGGTGTCTTAAACTTTGGCTAGAATTCTTGTTTTCTTCCTCAAAAACCTGTTTCTCTGCAGTTTTTCCCATCTTAGTAAATATACCACCACTCATTTGCTCGAGCAAAATCTTTATTATTCTCTCATTCCCCACATTTATCCATCAGCAGGTTTCCTTAGGGTAACCTACAAACACATTTAGAATCTGCCCCGACCCCCATTTCTATCTCAACTACTACCATCCTAACCAGGCTACCTTCATTTCTTGCCTTTATCAATATCCAGCCTCATAACTGGTCCCCATGCCTCTCCTCTTGCCCCACCCCCACCCTCCGTAGGCCATTCTCCATATAACAACCAGAGTGTTTTCCATTTTATTTTATTATGTTTATTTTATTTATTTATGTTTAAGTAAGCTTCACACCCAGCATGAAGCCCAACTCAGGGCTTGAACTCAAGACCCTGAGATCAAGACCTGAGCTAAGATCAAGAATTGGATGCTTAACTGACTGAGCCACCCAGGCACCCCATAGTATTATCCTTTTTAAACCTAAATCATACTATCACTCTCCTCCTTGAAACAACCCAGTTGTTTTCTATCATACTTAACAATAAATTCCTGACTCCTTTCTCTAACTTACAAAATTCTTAGATAATCTAGTCTGTGCCTACTTCTCTTGAGGTTACCACTTTTATGCCCTGTATTCCACAGGGTCTTTCTGTGATTTGTGTACAATGCGTATATTCCTGCTTTAGGGCTATTGTCTCTCCTTGAAATGCTCTTCACTTCATCTTTACAGTGAGTGCCATCTTGTTATTCTGATCCTAATATCACTAAATGCCATTGTCATTAAGTAACTGGGGCCAATCTAAAATAGATTCTAAAATAGATCATTTAGTTAGCCTCTTTTCATATCAGACTACTATAATTCTCTGTATAGAACTTACCAGAACTTATAAATTGTTATTCTGTTTCCCTCTTTAAAATGTACATTTTGGGGCACCTGGATGGCTCAGCTGGTTAAGTGTCTGATTTGGGCTCAGGTCATGATCTCACAGTTTATGAGTTTGAACCCTCTGCTGTCAGCCCTGAGCCCGCTTCAGATCCTTTTTCTTCCTCTCTCTGCCCCTCCACTCTTGCATGCTTGCTCTCCCCCACCCCAAATAAAAATTTAAAAAATTTAAATTTTATGGTAGCAGGGACCATATCTTGTTATATCCTTGTATAGTTTGGTAAATTTTAATAAATATACCTATATAATTTCTACCTAGATCATGATATATAACATTACAAATCCACCCCCCCCGCAGTAGCCTCTTTTTATTGAGTCAGAGTCAAACCCCCAAAAAGTAATCAATGTTCTGACCTCTATTTGAGGATTATTGTTGCCTGTCTGAAGGCACATAAATGGGATTACAGTATATTCTCACCTATAGCAGTGGTTCATTCTCGTCCATTGCTCTCATATTCCATTATATGAGTATACTACAGCTTTTTATGTTCAACTATTGAAAGGCATTTAGGTTATTTTCAGCTTTTAGCTATTATAAATTAATTATAAATTATTTTAGCTATTATAAATGATGGATATGAATCTTTGGGTGAAATTAGTCATAGGAATTTCGTATGTTCATTGTTGAAAGATAAGACAATACCAGTTTTCTAAAGTGGTTTTACCAGTTTACTCTTCCACTGGCAATGTATGAGAGTTCTGATTGCTTCATGCCTGTACCAACAGTTGGTATTGTCTTGTATGTGTGTGTGTATGTGTCTTATGGCTTTAAATTATTTTCCTGATGACTAAGTGAACACTTTTTCATATTTTTATTGACTTTTTCATAGTTTTCTAGTTCAGATTACCTCTTTTTTCAAGTGCTTATTAAAATGTTTTACTCATTTTTAAATTGGGTTACCTTTTTTTCCTTATTGATCTGTAAGAGTTCTTTTTGTTCTTTATGATCTGTAAGAGTTCCATGAATGAAAAGTTTTTTTATTTCAGTGATAAGTTCAACTTATCAGTTTTTCATTGTTTGTATTTTTTGTGTACTTGTCAAGAAATCTTGGCCAACTCCAAGGTCATAAAGATACTGCTTTATGCTATCAGCTAGAAGTCTTATTGTTTGACCTTTCACATTTAAAACCTACAGGCAAACTGGAATTCGTTTTTGTGCATGGGTTGAGGTAGAGGTCAGGGCATATTTGTTTCTATACAGCTGTTCAACTGATAAAACATTTATTGGGGAAAAAGTTAATCCTTTTTCTCCTGCCTTTATTTGCTACCTTTTTCAAAAATTAGGTGACTTTGAATGTGTAAATCCATTTCTGGATTTTCTTGTCTTTTCAATGTGTTATATTTGTATATTCTTGCATTAGTTACTATGCTATGTTAGCTACAATAATCTTGAAATAAATCTTGACATCTGGTGGTGTAAATAAATCTTCCAGCTTTGGTCTTCAGATTGTTTTGCTTTCTTTCACCTTTTGCATTTCCATATATGCACTTTAATAATCAGTTTATCAGTTTCCATACATAACATTTACATACTGCATTTACATACTGTTTTTATACTCTTTTATAACCCACTTTTTCTACTTATATCTTCCATGTCAATAAATACATTTCTGTTATATTTTTAATAATACATTCTCTTGTTGATGCCAGTATTTTCCCCCTTTACAAACAGCAATGTCATCAGCATCCTTAATTATTTTATTGTCTTTTCTGAAGACATCTAATTCCTTGAGAAATTATAAGCATTTATACTTATCACAAGTGTGAATGCCATTAAAATATGTGTTGTGGGAGAAACTAAGATGAATAGGACTACAGGCCCTTGCCTCAAGCTGACAGCTTAGGTATTATGAGACATACACATAATTAACTGCAATTAATTTGTTTCATTGAGACACAAATCATGAACTGTGGAGCTAGAGTGCCTGAGTTTGGAAATCTCACTCTTCCACTTACTAGCTCTCTTTTTCTTTCTTTTTTTTTTTTTTTTAAGTGGACAGAGTAACCTTCGTAAGGTGTTGGGAAGCTTAGAAGAAATCGTATGTTAAGCACTTTGACCAGTGATCTAACACAAGATGGGTCAATCAAGTGTTACCTATTGTTGTGATAATTAGTTCTAGAAAAATAACAGCTGTAAGTGGGTTCTAGGAATAGGTGTTTTACGAATAGGCATTCTTTTTTAATCTGTGATATTCATTGTTTCTGTTCATTCTCAAAGATCTGTAGTCTGTTCTAACAGTGTTTGGCTTATAGTAGGTACACATAAAAATTGAGTATGTGAATAAATGAAAATGTATTCTGGAGACACTGGTATATGAATTGTGCTGATCTAATTAATTTTCTGATTTCAGATTTGAAAGATTAGAAGTCTTGGCTGTATTTGCCTCCACAGTCTTGGCACAATTGGGAGCTCTCTTTATATTAAAAGAAAGGTACATTTGTATACAATGTCACTGTCATTGTAAATTCCACCTATAGCACCTTTGGGAATATGAAGGAATCCAGTGAGACACGTTTGGTTTGAAGGGTATACAAATTAAGATGAGCAGTGCTGGAGTTTTGATAGTATGTCTTCTTCATTTTTCAGACTTTTCTCCCTTCTTTTCACCCTCCTTTTATTACCTTATTTGATGCTACTAAATCCTGAGCAGGTATGAAGGAAAGGGCTTCAGTCAGACATGTTTTAATGCTTAGTACAAACCCATTGAAAAAAGTTTGGTGGAGAAGATTGATACTACGTATTGAAGATAATTAGTAAGTCTCCTTTCCTGATCACTGCTAATAATCAACAGTTGGATATCATATTAAAAGATTTTGTTCAGGGTGCCTGGCTGGCTCAGTTGGAAGAGCATACAACTCTTGATCTCAGGGTCATGAGTTTGAGCCCCATGTTGGGTGTAGAGGTTACTTACACAAATAAGCAAACAAACTAACAAGAAAAAGATTTTGTTCACATTAGATTACTTCTGTATTTAATAAAGCTTTTTAATTTCATAATTTTTAGAACCAATTTAATACATTATTTCTTTCTTTTAGTGCAGAACGCTTTTTGGAGCAGCCCGAGATACACACGTGAGATTTTGCTTTTGATATAACATAATTTACTATTATATTTGATCCCCAGTTATTAAGAGGTATATTAGGAATAATGGTTACATTGGCCAATGTCAGAGTTCAGAGTGTGGCAGTATACATTTCACTGATATTTCACAAACAAAATCCCCCAATTCCAAGACTGCTTCTTTTCACCCTTAATTGTTCCCAAGTCTTTATGTTTTTATATTGCACAGGAAGGCCTTTGTACCCTGGCTTTAGGTCCCTTGTTATTTCCAGGCCTAGGTCCACACATAAACTAGCCATGTTGGTCTTCTATAATTTAAAATTTGATATCCAAAATCTTCTAGTAGCACCTTTAAAAAGATAAAATTGTAGAAAAGATAAAATTGAGCCTGGGTGTCTCAGTCAATTAGGTGTCGGACTCTTGATTTCAGCTCAGGTCATGATCTCATGAGATTGAGTTCCGTGTCAGACTCTGCACAAAGCATGGGGCCTGTTTGGGATTCTCCCTTTCCCTCTCTCTCTGCCCCTCCCCTGCTCACTCTCTCTCTGAAAATAAGTAAATGTTTAAAAAAAAAAGATAAAATTGTAATTATCTACTACATAGTTGCCAAATATATGGACTTTACCTCTTTTGGCCAGTTCAATTCAAGTTAGTCTGACTGTCTAGTATATTGTAAACCAAATACCATTGCATTTATATAGATTTATAACAGCAGTTACCTGTAGGAAGATACTGTTAATGCTGAGTCAGATTTGTCCTGTGTAAGATGGAGCAGTAGACAGGACATGGATTATGGAGCTCAAAAACAAGTTCAGAGTCTGGCTCCGCAAATCCCAAACCACTGAAGCAGACCGCTCTCCCTTCCCATCTCTTAGTCTGTCTGCATACTGAAATTATATATTGATATTACCAAGAAAAAATAATGGTAAATGTTATTATTATTCTTTTTAGGGGAAGATTATTAGTTGGGACTTTTGTGGCTCTTTCCTTCAACTTGTTCACGATGCTTTCTATTCGGAATAAACCTTTTGCTTATGTCTCTGAAGGTATGATTTTTACTTACCATTAATAAAAAATCTAATTCATCTCTCATAAAAACAAGTCTTGTGTTTGTTTCATTAACTCATAAATCAACTAGAAAGCTTATCCTAAAGAGAAGAGAGAACTACCCGAGAAGTTCTCAGGTCTTTTATGAGTAGAGGATTACAAATTTAATTACTATAAGCCTTAAAAGAACATATTACTTGGGGTGCCTGGGTGGCTTAGTTGGTTAAGCGTCCGACTTTCGCTTAGGTCATGATCTCACGGTTCATGGGTTCGAGCCCTGCGTCGGGCTCTGTGCTGACTGCCAGCTCAGAGCCTGGAGCCTGTTTTAGTCTGTGACTCCCTCTCTCTCTGACCCTCCCCTGCTCATGCTGTCTCTCTCTCTGTCTCCTAGAAATAAATAAACATTTAAAAAAAAAATATTTCTTAAAAACATGCAGAACTGACATATATTAAATTATATGTGATGAAAAATTACATTTGCCAAATAACATGCATGGGATTTTAGATGTGTAACCTACCTAAAAAAGGTCTGTTGCAAGCATTTTAGAAATATCAGTATATTTCAAATGGTTGATGTGCTCATGTATATGTATTTTGAAATATTCTTTTATTTTTAGGTCTTTAAAAATTTAGACTGTTATTTCAACTCAGTGGCTAAAATTATTGTCATTTTTCAGTAATTTCCATGTTCTGGAATCCCACTAACCCACAAAGGGTCAATCACTGATTGATGGAGAAGTGAGGTAAAACCAAAAGTGGGCTGTGTGCACAGACCCACACTTTGAAACAAAGATAGGAGAGGGTCTTTTTAGGTCTTCCTGACTTGAACACTATGACAATCAATAGAAGAAGACTTTCTGAATTGCCCTTTCTAGTTTAAACACCTTCATGTTATGAAGAATTAGTTGTATTTGTATGAATTAAAGTTTGAGAATTACTGCATGAACTAGAAAACTAAATACAGTATTTTGATGTCCCAAATTATTTTGAAAAAAACATAAATTATTAACATAGTATAATGTTCATTCTAGAAATTTTAAGAAGGTACAAAGATCTAAAAATTATATCTCTCCATGAAGATTGGAAAGATCCAGGTTTTCCTTTTACAAATAATGCTACAATCTGCTTTCTGATATCAGATTTCTTGAATGCATCTGTGAGTTTTCAGGATAAATTCCCCAGAGAAATTATAAATGGGTTAGAAATAAAATATCTTTTAAGTCATTAATGTATATCGTGCCAGACTTATATCTGGAAAGACTATCTAGTTTATATTTTCATTAGCTGGATATTAAAGTTCCCAGAAACATTAATATTTGTGACATAAGTTGAAATTTGAGTAGAAAATTATACTGGGCACTTTCTGTCTGCCAGGCACTATGCTAAACTCTATATGGATCAACCCATTTAATTCTCCCTGTAACCACATGAGTAAATAATTTTATTGTTTCTATTTTACACTGAAGTACTGAGAAATTAAATCACTTGCCCCAGGCCTAATGTCTAGCTAAGAGCTGGGTTTTAAGCCAGATATTCTGGCAATAGAGTCTGCTCTTAACTGCTCTACCAAATGGCTTTTGTATAAAGCTTGCCAATCTTTTACATCATGTTACACGTAAAATAGTGAATACTTCTGTAACCCTGAGATAAATGTAAGAGGATGCTTGAGCCTTGTTCAGTAATAGTAACTGGCAGGTGTCTGCATGTAGCCAGATCCCCTACCTGGCCTTTCCGAGAATTGGTATACCTATAACCCATTCTCAGCATACTGCTTATGAAGTTCTGCTTTACATTTAAAGAGCCTTTAAAATTAATAGTACACTGACATATGTAAGTTCACTAATTCCTCCAGGTCAGTGATATAAATAGTTGAAACTACTTTTGCTTTATTTTCTTGAAGGGATAAAAGAGGAAAAAGGTCTAGATTTAAGTAGCATGTCCTTTTGTACAATGTTATACAGTTGTAAATCTTATCTTTTAAATTAAGGAAATCAAGTATTTCTGGTAGTGGTTTATTTTTCTATATAGATAATTAAAGTGTTTTCTTCTTAAAGCTGCTAGTACGAGTTGGCTTCAAGAGCATGTTGCAGATCTTAGTCGAAGGTAAGATGTTCTGTGGGGGTTCATGATACACAATTTCAAAGGGATGTACAAGAAATGCATCTGTCATGGGAATTTACATTTTTCATTGCTGTGGCTGCTACATGAATCTCACAGATCAAACTTATTCTCCTTTTACTTTTTAATTGATGATATAAGAGACCTTTATGAGTGAGAGAACTTTGTTCCCACATCTTCTTTGCTTTCTATAAAAGACATATGATGCAAAAATACAAGTTATCTTTTACAGAATTTCCATCAGTATTACACTGAGTTCTGCTAATGAATGCTCTTTGTTTCTTCATAGCTTGTGTGGAATTATTCCAGGACTTAGCAGCATCTTCCTTCCCCGAATGAATCCATTTGTTTTGATTGATCTTGCTGGAGCATTTGCTCTTTGTATTACGTATATGCTAATTGAAATTAAGTAAGTAGTTTTTATTGCTGTCAAGTGGTTTCTACTTTGGGGGCCTGGCTTTTAAAGGCATCTGCGGGATAGATAAGGATTAAACTTAGAGCATGTTTGCTTATGACTAAGCAATAACTTTGTGTTATTTTGGTTAAGTCTTGTCCTTAAGTATCTTCATCTGAAAAATTAAGGGGGTTGGATTCAATAAGTATTTTTCACCATAATCTATAATTCAGACTGGAAAACTATTTAAATTCCCTACTGCTGACCTGGTGAGTGAAACAGAGAAGATGACAGTGCCAGAAGATGACACATAAGCCATGGCTACTGTTTCTGAGAGAAGGAAGGGGAAGTAGGTATGGAAAGGCAAGCCTTAAAAAAAAGAAAGAAAAAGAAAAAACAAAAGGGAAACCTTTTAGGAAGTAGACTTTATAGCTGCTTTAAGCGTACTTAGCGTTTTATGATATGTGATTCTTTGACCACCTACCCTTTAATTATTAGTGTTTACTAGAATCTGTCCATAATAATTCTTTTTTTCTGTTTTGCATACTCTTCTGGAAGATTAAATTCAATTACTTGTTTTTACTTACCACTTCTGTGAGTTTCCCAAACCTTTCTTTATTTCTAGTCCAGATGTCTGTTGAATTCCAAAAGGCATATCTTACTGACTTCTATTCGTGTCTACATCAACTGAACCCATTTTCCCCATCCCCAAAGCTGTTTATATTTCCCACCTCAGTGAATACTACTACCACCTATTCTGTTGCATTATTTTTAAAAATTACATTAAAACTTTAACCATTTTTAAGCATACAGTTCAGTGGCATTAAGTACCTCACATCATTGTGTAAATGTCACCATCTTCCATCTTCAGAACTTTTTCATCTTCCTGAAACTCATTAAACTCATTAAACAGTAGTTCCCCCTCCCCTCTTCCCTCAGCCCCTGGTAACCACTATTCTATTTCCAGTCTCTATGAATTTGATAAAGTACTTCATATAAAATCATACAGTATTTGTACTTTTGTATCTGGCTTATTTTACTTAGTGTAATGTTTTCAGGATTCTTTCATGTTGTAATATGTGTCAGAAATTTCTCCCTTTTTAAGATTGAAGAATATTCCACTGTATATACAGAACACATTTTGTTTGTTGACTTATCCATTGATAGATATTTGTATTGTTCCCACCTTTTGGCTGTTGTGAATAGTGCTCCTGTGAACATGGTGTACAGATATCTGTTTGAGCCCCTACTTTCCATTCTTGTGGGCATTTTTCCAGAAGTAGAATTGCTGGATTATAGGATAATTCAGTGTTTAATTTTTTGAGGAACTGCAGTACCCTGTTTAATATCATATTTCTCCCTCCTCCCCTCTTACCTCTCCCAAATACTTTGGGATACTTTGGTTGTTTCCATGTCTTGGCTATTGTAAATAATACTCTTGTTAGCCAGTCTGATTGGATCTTCCTTTTTAATACTTATCCGTCCTCTCTTCCCCATTCTCATTGCTGCTCCCCAAATTGAGGCCTTATCATCATTTCTTTGGTCTAATTAGAATAGTCTTCTGCTCTTCTATCATTCTCAAACATCTCTAGTTATCTTCTGTTTTGCTACTAATGTCATTATTCACAGTTGCAAATTTGGCCATAATGTTTTCCTGTTTCAAAATCCTCCTCTTTGCATATTTAAAAAAATAAAAGCTGTTAGAATGGTAAGACCCCTACCAAGCTCACTGGACATCCACCTGTCTGTTTGCCTGCTCGTAGTTTCAGTGCTTTATCAGGACTCTCACACCCTTGCTGCTTTCACTGTCTGTGATACCTTTTTTCCACTGCCTCACTCATCTTTGAAGAGTCAGCTTTGATGTCTCTTTCTATTTTATAATCCTTTTTGAATTATCCCTACCTTGGGAGACTTGTCACTCACTCCTTTGTGCATCCAGGATACCCTATAGGACTTCTCCTTTTTTCCCAAATTGCTTCATTTTCTTAACATGGTTATCTCTTGCTATTTTAAAGGTAGAGACTAGGTCTTTCCTCATGTTTATATTCCCATCATGTGGGAAAAAGTTAAAAAAAAAAAAGATCAGCTTGTAATCATTGGCATTGGCATTGACATTTTGGTCTGTCTTATTAACAGAACAGTCTGAACTACTGATGAGTGTTGTACTTTAGCGACCATGTTCCTCTGACGAATTCCCATAGAATCTCACCTTGTGTAATTCCTGAGGAATTTCAAAAATTCTTAGTAATAACGGGAAAGTTATTATTTACAGGAAAATTGTTGGAAGCACTGATGAAGTACATTAGTCTTCTCTGTATCAGAAATTACATGTTGAAGGTTTTTATTTGTTGCAACAAATGAATATATATGAAATCTTTCTCATTGACAAGTAGATTGAAAATACATAATGAGGAATGTTCACATTGTTTTTCTTCACCATCTCTTCACACTGCTTAACATAATTATTATTTTCCACTAAACTTTGGCAAGAAAGGATTCTGAAAATGTTTTTTGTTGGTTTTTGTTTTTTCATTTTTTTTGAGACACTCTCTTTGCCAGCGGTGGCCACTTGTGGTAAAAGTCCTGTTCCTTCAGATAATTAATGTTTTGGAAGACTGAATTGTAAGAAGCTCAGTGATGCATATGTTTGAGATTTAGAATTGTTTTTTCCTTTTAGTAATTATTTTGCTGTGGACACTGCTTCTGCCATAGCCATTGCTCTGATGACATTTGGCACTATGTATCCCATGAGCGTCTACAGTGGCAAAGTATTACTGCAGGTAAGGGTCCTCTTTCAAAGCACATGCCTAATATTAGCCAGGTTTTTCTACCAGAGTATAAAATTACATGTGTTCTTCTACCAGATGTGAAATTTTTAGCTATTGGAAGTCCTCATTAGACATGAGCTCAAACAGTAATCTCTGAAATCTATACAGTAAGAAGCAGATGAAATTTCTTGGCTCATAACATATGTATAAGTCTTCCTGTATTTATAAGACAAAATCATAAACTAAAAAATTTTTTTTTCTGATAATGTTTCAAGTGAAAACAGTGTTACTTAGAATACTTTTGGCATATTTATTTTCCCTCAATAAATGTGCTTTGGCTATTATATAGTCTGGTTGTGATTGTTTTCTTATTTCCTGTCATTGAACCAGTGAGACTTCTAAATTTCATATTTAAAATTGAAAATGACCAATTACTCCTTATATAAACAGTAGGAACACCTGTAGACAAGCACCTGAATGCACAGGTAGATTCACAGGGATAGATGTATATGTAAGCACTGCTTTCCTTCTGTCTTACCCTCATGCCCTTTCTAAAACTTAGGGGCAGTAGTTTTAGCTCCAGAAACAGTAGTAACAATAAGATAATAGTTGTGCTATTATTAATAAGTGCTGTGCCATATACAAAATATTTTCAGTTGGTTGGCTGATTCTTGAAGAGTTGTTTGGGCCTAGAGATAGTGCTGCTTTGTGAGATACAAATTAAGCATGGGCTGATTCTTGATATTGTCCCCCTAGTGGAGCGAGTTGAAACCTCTCTTCACTAAATCATGATAGGCTGTCAAAGCAAAGGCTGGTATAAAATCCAATTTTTTAGTTTTAGGACCACTGTGCAAAAATTGTTTTATCTCCTAAGTTATTCATATTTTAATTTTTTTCTCCAGACAACACCACCCCATGTTATTGGTCAATTGGACAAACTTATCAGAGAGGTAAGGTGGAAGAGTAAATAAAATCATTTTAATTTATAATTAGAGAATGGAAAGAATGGGTACAAGTAATACTTTATTCAGCCCTATCTATATTTTATTTTAGGGGAGTTTGTGTTCTTTATAGTACATAACACAGTAGGAGGTATAGTAACAGAAGTACAAAAATTTGAGGAATTCTCAGTCTGGAAACTTGAAATAAATGTGGAAGGGAAGGTAATGGTCTAGAAACCACACTACTAGCTATATAAATGCTATGGTTTTTATGAATCTATATTCAAATCTAGGATTTTTATTTAAGTCAAAGACCACTTTTACATGTTGATTGCTTCATCACTTAACATACTGATTTGTGAGTTTAGATTTTATATTGTATAAATACCCACCTGCTTACTAATTGAAGGAATATGATAATTTAATTATTTGAATTTTGAGCATCTTTCGAACTATTGATTGCTGGTATCACAAAGACCACTGTTCTCAATATAACTGGCTGTTTGTCTCAGCCTATTTCATCGTAGCAGTGGACCATACACTGTGTATCTGGTCTTGGAATTTCCTTTTGGCCCACATTCATGTAACATCCTGAATTGTGCAGAAATTTGTTAAAAGGGAATGCAGAGAAAGAAATGATAGAGAAGACTTCCCAAAAGGGGGAAAAATCTAATACCACCAGTGCTAGATATAAATATATGGCATACTGACAAAATGAGAAGAACCATCTGCTATTGAATAAGGTGGTGGTGAAGGTAGGTGGTAAAGACCTGATTCTAAAAGAATTGGACGGGACAAGAAATGGAATACAAGGCCTTGGCTAACTACTGAACAAGTAAAATGGTACCTTGAGTGGTCTGGGACTTCTCTTGGCTAATGAGTGTCCTCATGCAGGGTTTGATCAGATCATTTCTAGGCTTGGATCAAGTCAATAATGTGACTGAACTGTGTTGGATATGTCAAATATGTACAGCCCTGTTTCTTTGTTTATGATTAGGTATCTACCTTGGATGGAGTTTTAGAAGTTCGAAACGAGCATTTTTGGACCCTAGGTTTTGGCTCATTGGTATGTTTTCTGTGTTAATGTAGTTGTAATTTAAAGCATAGTTTATAATGGGGCACCTGGGTGGCTCAGTCGGTTAAGCGTCTGACTTTGGCTCAGGTGATGATCTCATGTTCATGGGTTCAAGCCCCACGTTGGGCTCTGTGCTGATGGCTAGCTCAGAGCCTGAACCCTGTCTTCAGATTCTGTGTGTGTCTCTCTCTCTGACCCTCCCCTGCACACACTGTCTCTCGCTCAGAATTAACTGAAACATTAAAAAAAAATTAAAAAACATAGTTTATGCTAACTTGAATATAAATTAAACAATAAATAAATTTAAAATAAATGAAACATAGTTTATAATTTTTAAAACTGAAATAAGCACTTCTTTAAATTTTTATAGAACCTTTGATTACCGTTTCTGTTTTATAGAGTCTAAAATGTAGATGGATTCAGTAACCTAATTGAGATTAGTTGAGGGATATTTTCTTTATTTTTTTTACTTTCAAACATGATTTTTAATGTTTATTTATTTTTGAGAGAGAGACACACACAGCATGTGAGCAGGGGAGAGGCAGAGACGGAGACACAGAATCCAAAGCAGGTTTCCAGGCTCTGAGCTGTCAGCACAGAGCCCCATGTAGGGCCTGCACTCACAAACTGTGAGATCATGACCTGAGCCAAAGTCAGATGTTTAACCAATTGAACCACCCAGGCGCCCCTCCATGTTTTTGATATTAACCTTAAAAAATAAGACCAGTTAATTTACTAGCAAAAAAGAGCTTATTTGGGAATACCAGAGAATTGCAATTAGGGATAAGCAAGCCACAACCAAACTACAGGCATGTCTGAAGAACAAAAGAGAGAGGAACCCTCTTTCCTAGAGGAAAGGGGAAGTGGAAAGGACTGTTACAAATGAAAAATCCAATGAAGTAAACCGGAAGTTCAAGTGTAGTGGCTTTCACTGCCTGAGTTGTGGTAGTCTCTCATTGGCTGGGCTGTTGTCACAGAAGGAGGAAAACCTCTTTCCTCCTGTTGATGTTATAAAGTAGCTAAAGTAGAATGGACTTTATCTCTCTTCCTGTTGACTCTGCAGCTGACTGTGGGTGGGACGGCCTGAGGGACCCTTCCTTCTGGCTTCCTATGTCCCATTTTTGTAAGGTTTCTTTTTATTAACTTTTGCAAATCCAGATTGGACCATTACCAGAGAGACAATTATGCCATGGTTCTATTCCTCTGTCAGGAATGACGAGGAGAATACAGAAAAGTACTGAGAAAAAAAAAAATTTCGCCATAATTCTATCATATAGAAAAGCCTCCAGAACATTTTCTTATTTATACTTACCTATTTTCTCTCCTTAGAAAATGAAACCATGCAGTTTATAATTTGCTCTTTTCACTTAACATATCGTTTATAGTTTTTTGTGTTACTAAGTATTACTTTTATGGTCAAATTTTTTTTCCCTTAAATGTGATTTGATCTTTGCCTAGATGCCCCAAGAGTTTTGTTTTTTGGTTGCTTGTTTGTTTGTTTAAAGTCCAGTAATTTTACTAGACTATGTCTTGGTGTTGGTTGTTTTGGATCAGTTACTCCAGCTATGCCTTTCAGCAATGGTATTGCAAAAAACTTTTTTTTAACTTTCAGGAAAGTTATCTTTAATTGTAATTATTAATATTTAATTTTGTTCTCTTGCTTTTAGTATCGTCTTTGAGATCTCCTATTGTAAGCATGTTGGGTCTTTTGTATTTATTTTCTTTCAGTTCCTTATTATATCTTGAATTCCTTTGATTTTTAAAACTTTCCTTCTCTTCGCCTTTTATTCCCCTTATAGTAGACCTGTATATTTATTTGCTTTTGTTTTCCTTCTAGTCTGGTCTTCATTTCCTTTTCTTAAGTTTATTTATCTTGAGAGAGACCGAACGAGCAAGGGAGGAGCAGAGGGAGAGGGAAAGAGAATCCCAAGCAGGCTCCACACAGTCAGCCCAGAGCTCCACATGGAGCTCAAACTCACAAATCATGAGATCATGACCTCAGCCAAAGTTGGACACTTAACCTACTGAGTCACCCAGGCACCCTTTATAATAATTTTGTGTGCAATTTGGATTCATACCTTTTCTGTTGCTCCTTTTCATGCACAATTGTTTTCCTGAGCTTTAAAATAAGGAGTGGTTAAGGGCACCTGAGTGGCTTAGTCCGTTCAGCGTCCGACTTCGGCTCAGGTCATGTTCTCACGGCTTGTGGGTTCGAGCCCTGTGGAGCTTGCTTCAGATTCCATGTCTCCCTCTCTCTCTGCCCTCCCCAGCTTGCACTCTCTATCTCTCTCTCAAAAATGAAAAAAGTGTTAACAAAAATTTTTTAAAAAATTAGTGGTTAGGGTAGTGTGTTCGAATTTATGGTTCTAAAGCTCCCTCTTCTGAGGAGTCTGTGAAGTAAAAGTTTTTTCTTTCTCCTGGCCCTTTTCCTGCCTTTTGTTGTTTCTGCTGTGTTGTTCAATTTGGATTCTGCGCCCAGTTGTTTCTTTTTAATGTGGGGCTTTCTACTGAAAGGGAGCTTGCTTGGTTACTTTGGAGCTCACAGGGCTTCGGCTGTTCCAGCTCTTCAGATCTCACAGCGGACTCCCATGTACTCACCCACCATTGAAATGTGCAAAACCCCTCCCAGTTTCCCAGCTGTCTTCCTCAAATTTGTCCTAGATTTTCATTAAATACAAGTTAGCTGCTTAGATTTTTCAGTCCATCACATATCCTGTTGCTACCTCCTTCACAGATGCTGATACCTTGCAGGTCTTACATCTTGTGACTAGGATTTCTTGGAGGAACCATGTTATCTAGTTTTTTTTAATAGATGTTGTCCATAGGTTTTTGGAGGTGATGTCTTAGTTTTGGTTTTTCTGGGAATATTTGGGAAATTTCAAAAAAGTGCCACCATTACTGCTATCTTTTGAGAATCCCAACATAATTTTTAACAGCTGCAGTTTTACATTATTTGAATATGCCATCATTTACTTAATCAGTCCACTAATGACATTCCATTTTTCCTTTATAAACAGCTGGGATGAACATTTTTATGGAATAATCTTTGCACATACTTGTGATTATTCTTTAAGATTAATTTTTAGAAGTGGTTTTGTGAGTCAAAGGATATTCACACTGGTAGCCTAGCTGCCTCATTCATTAGAGCATGTGACTCTTGAACTTAGGGTTGTGAGTTCGAGCCAACGTTGAATGTAGAAATTAGTTAAAAATAAAATACTTTTTTAAAAAAAGTATATCCATATTTATATGGCTTTTGATATAGCCAATTACTTTCCAAAAATGGCTGTGCCAATTTACATTGCTTTAGGAATGTAATTCTGGGGGCGCCTAGGTGGCTCAGTCAGTTAAGCGTCCGACTTTGGCTCAGGTCATGATCTCGCAGTTCATGGGTTCAAGCCCCATGTCAGGCTCTATGCTGACAGTCTGCTTTGGATTCTGTGTCTCCCTCACTCTCTCCCTGCTTTGGATTCTGTGTCTCCCCCTCTCATATTCTGTCTGTCTCTCAAAACTGAATAAATGTTTAAAAAATTAAACAACAACAACGAAGAAGAACATGGCCATCTAACCACTGCACCCATGTAGTACTTAATTAAGAACAAGGGAAAAATAAAACAAGTTTTTGAGCTGCAAGAATAGTTGTCACAAAAGCCATAAATTAATGCAAACACCATAGTCACAGCAGACTCTGTTCAGGCTCCTGCTTAGAAAAGGTTTTCATTTATTTTAATTGCTTTAATTTCCATAGCAGAGTGAAAGAGGTTATGGTATCTTTTATAGTTTTGTCTAGTGATACTGTGAGATGGGAGTGGCCAAGAAAAGGAAGAAATCAAAGGCAACTTCATTTCTAGACATGGCTTGTCTTACTTAAAAATAATAAACTAGAAGTCAGATTCAACCTTTATAAATATTTCCTCCATCTTCTGATTGACAGTAAGTCACTACTGTTTAAGTCATAGATTCAAACACATTGTAAATAAAACAACTACTTGTATTTGGCTAATTTATGTGAAGCTTATTCTTTGTTATAATTTTTTATCTTGAAAATCTGAGTTTATCTAGAAATCAGCATTGAGTGTCTACTGGACATTTTGTTTCATTTTATTTATTATTTATTTTTACTTAAGTTATATTATGCAAATGGTACCTGATGCTTAGAAAAATTAAAAGTTGTAACTAAGTCAAAGAGAAGAGAATCAAAACCTCTAATAATTCTACTAGAGATAAGTGTTGTTGCTCTTGGCTGTTTTTCTGTGTGTGTTTTAAATAAAATAAGATCATTGTTCTATTATTTTATTATCCACTTTAAAAACATAATGTGTGATCCATATCTTTTCAATAAACAGATTTCTAGCCGTCATTGTAATGCCTGGGGTTCTCTGTCCTCATAATAACCCTCATAGCTAGAAACCTTGAGATCATCTTTGATTAGTCAGACCATCTCCCTCATCCACTATATCCAGTTGGGTATCCATCTAACCCGTAGAAAATCATGAACGCGTCTGTCCCTTTCTGATTCCACTATATTTGTTCTGCCTCAGCCTTCTTCGTTTCTAACCTAGAGTGTTGCAGTCATGTCCTCCCTAATTACCAATCATTCATACCTACAATTTTTCTAAACTTTATTTTACTTCTGATTGATTGCTACTATACAAACTCCATATCATGATTTTTAGAGTCCTCTGCTAGCCTTTCTTTGAACCTTACTGCCCGCTTATCTCTCTTTCTTTTTTTCCATTCTTTCCTTCCTTTTCTTTTCTCTCATTCATTATTTTTCTGTCCCCTGAAATATTTGTACTTCTTTATATATTAGTAATATTGCTTATTCTGTCCCAACGTGCCATGCATTTTTAAAAAAATTTTTAATGTTTATTTATTTTGAGAGAGAGAGACAGAGCACAAGCTGGGGAGGGGCAGAGAGAGACACACACACAGAATCCAAAGCAGGCTCCAGGCTCTGAGCTGTCAGCACAGAGCCCGACATGAGGCTTCCGTGAGATCATGACCTGACCTGAAGTAGGACACTTAATTGACTGAACCACTCAGGCACCCCTTGCATTTTAATTGCTGTTCCCTCAGCTTAGAATGTCTGTCTCCACCTTTGGAAATTACATTTCACCATCAACCCTGGATCAAATGCCCTCTTCTTTTGAAGTCTTCCTTAATTTGAATTAGCAGCTACCTTCTCCTGCCCCTCTACTGCATTTTCTATATACTTTATATTCTGCATTAGGCTATAACATGCCTCTCTTCCTCCTACATGTATTTCTCTTTTTTATATATATTTTAAAAAGTCACATTTTATTTAAAGAGTCACATAACTTTATTAACTCTTGACATTGACAGTCATTACTGGGTAGTCTTTAAGGAATATCAAGACATCATACTTTCTCTTGTTTTAAAGAAAACACCAAGTACAGTTACAGCCAAATCATGAATAAAATGTTTATTTCTAGTGGAATTTCAGTGGTATAATTTAAGCATCTCTTTCTTCTGATTTTGCCCGTTTTAGGCTGGATCAGTACACGTAAGAATTCGACGAGATGCAAATGAACAAATGGTTCTTGCTCATGTGACCAACAGGCTGTACACTCTAGTGTCTACGTTGACCGTTCAAATTTTCAAGGATGATTGGATTAGACCTGCCTTACTGTCTGGGCCTGTTGCAGCCAATGTGCTAAACTTTTCAGATCACCACATAATTCCAATGCCTTCTTTAAAGGGTACTGAGGATTCAAACCCTGTTACATCGACTCCAGCTAAACCTAGTAGTCCACCTCCAGAATTTTCATTTAATACCCCTGGAAAAAATGTGAGCCCAGTTATTCTGCTCAACACCCAAACAAGACCTTCTGGCTTGGGTCTTAATCATGGACACACAGCTTATAGTAGTAGCTTGCTTAATCAAGGACTTGGAGTTCCAGGAATTGGAGCAACCCAAGGATTTAGGACTGGTCTTACAAATATGCCAAGTAGATACGGAACTAACAATAGAATTGGACAACAAAGACCTTGATGTACTGTAATTTAATTTATTTTTATGAGGAATATTGACTCCTTCATTCCAGTTTATTTACTAATCCAGCTGTGCACCGACTGTTCAATCATTTACTCTACATGTTAGAGAATAGTAGGTTTGTTCACATTACATGAAACTGATGAAACTATATTTTTGTAAAATGTATTTGGAGCTGTGAGAACCTTCTAAATGTTATAGAGTTGAATATAGGCTTCCTTTAGAAAATGTGTTTCTCTGATTTGGGATTTTGTTATTTTTAGTTTTGTAGTTGACTGCAGTGTGATAGACATTATAAGAGAACCACTTGATGGAGCAACTCTGTCACATTATTAAAAGTATAACATTTTCTTCAGTGAAATTTATTAAACATATTTCTTGAATAATGATACACATTTTAAGAAAGGAAAAAACATCCATTCTAAAAGTAAAAGTCTCTTTTATAGCTTTTCAAACTTAATTGCTCCGTTTTTGTTTTTTTTTTTTTTGAGGTCCTTTTGATTTGTGTCTTGCAAAAGAAAGCAAAAGTTTTTATCAGGAATTTTAGAGCATATTCTACTATCTAGCATAATTTCAAATTTTTAATTATCAGTGTCTTTATAGTTTTTTTTCATTAAAATATTTCAGTACACTTATAAATAGTCCATGTTCTGAAAGTGTTTTATTTTGGTTAAGTGAATACCAAATCCTTTGGTAATGTGCAATGAAGGAATCCCAGTTTTCTATATAACATTTAATCAAATACTGACATAATAACAAAAAACAAACCCCCCAAATACTGACATAATGATGGAATTTATCTTTTTTGTCACCTTTTCATTGGTTGACTTTACTCTCTCACTTTATTAACAAAATATATCAAATATATTACCAAAATGTATAGAATTCCATGTATAATATGGGATTTGATATCTGTTCAAAGTTGCATAAGCAATTTAAGTTAACATTATATAGTTTTACCAAAAGATAATAGACCCTACATTGTAGAATACAGTATTGTTATATCTGTAACAGGCAATTTCTAACTTATTTTGTTTTGCTTTGTCAAAATCATAAATTGTTAACTGTGATGAAGTAAGAGAATCATGTGGATTATCTTATTTTTTTATTTCTTTTCCAAATGCAGGTGTTAGTGACTGGCCAACATGGTCAGTATTACTTATAAAAAGTATCAAAAGCAGCAGTCACAAATTACCTGAGGTAATTTTTTAAATTTAATCATGAGTTTTATAATTAGAGTTTTAAAAGGTATTTTGAGAGTGGATTCAACTTTTCTGGAATCTAGTGCTCCTGGAGATTTATGACTTCCAGCCATCAGCCAGGTGTGTAAGGAAGATTTTTGTTTTTGTAGAATTTGTAAGTTGCTTCAATCAACTCATCCTCTTTTAAATATGAGCAACACTTCCAGATCTGATTTCACAGTGAAATAACAAACATCCAAGAAGCCATCTCTGTCAAGCAGAATTATAGTCAACCTGTGACCATATTCCACCTTTTGCTTGGTGAGGAGTCGGTCATTGTCTTTAACATCTGCAACCGTGTTCAGGCATTTGACCTGCTGAAGAAATAGAGCCCACACTACCATGACTGCTAGGAAAAATGAAACTTCATAAAATGTAATAAGGCAACCTGTTTCTTGTCCTTTATCTTATGTTCTCCAACTTTTAGTATACCTATGATTGGTCTATAATTACAGGGCGATTTTTCCTCCATTGACCTCACCTAAGTGGGTCATGCATGAAATCTGAAGAACTACCATGTACAGACTGTTGATCTTTAAGAGGTATGTGCTGCTCCCCATGCATGTCTTCTCCATTCTCATCGGATTTTTAAAGTGTCCAGGTACTGAACACACTTCTGCATGAGATTAAATGCCTGTTTCCTCCACACCTATTCAGAGGCAACACCTGTGTAGTTGTCCCACCAAAGGTGCTTTGATACCCACCTATGCTATTTAAGAAGTTTGCTGTGGGTTCTGAAGGAATTGGCTCTACTTGCTGAAATTCACTGATGCCAACTGCTGCAGGTGACATTGGTCCATTCATGATTATATAAAAAAGTCTTATTTGCCAAGCTCTGGCCAACTTCTGGATATGAAAACAAGAAACATGACCAATCTAGGTCTGTCTGTAGGCAGTAGCCTTGCTAGTAAGTCTTGCCACAGAGTCATATGAAGCTGAACAAGGAAGTTTGAATTGACTACTTGGCCTGTCATTTGTGATTAAGAGCAAGTTGTATGGAGCATGATACCCTGTCTGAAAAAACACCGTACTGTAATGGAAAAAACACTGGACTAGAAGTCAAGAGATTTTGATTCTGATCCTGATGCTGCCACTATGTAAGTAGTTTTGTTACTGTGGGCAAGTCATTTAATTTCTCTCGGCTTTATCATCTGTAGAGTTTGGGCAGGGAATGGATTGGTTAATCCGAAAACTATCTAAATTTCCTTCCAGTGACTACCTCAGCATACAGGCCAAGTGTTATCTACACCAACACCCAAGCCATTAATTTGAGGTGCCATGAGTATAGAAGGTGAACTGCAGATTAACACCATTTAGGTTTGTGTTTATTTTACACTTGACTTAATATGTGTTAATATTAAACAGATTTTTCTTAGACTTCTTTCTTTGTGGGGAAGGATTATTTTGGGTGTTATTGGAGAAAAGTTTAGGACAGGGTACCTTTAGCTTCCTTGGGTAAAAAGAATGGCGTACATTTTTCTTTCTTCCTTAATCTCTAAAGATACAGTTGGAATTACATACATGTATCAGCAAATGGGGAGGCCCTGAATGTTAAGCCTCTGATGTAGCTGCTCGTGAACTGCCAGTTTTTTCCTAGACTAAAGAATGCTGATCTTTTTGGGAGTCTAATCTGCTTATATAAGAAAATGCTTTCTATGTTCCAAATTGTTTGAAACATACTGTTTGAATAAAGAACATACATGGAGTTTTCTCTCTGATCTTAAATAATTTTGGCTTGTTTATTTATTCAGTAGCAATTTATTAGTAATTTAATTCAACAAATACTTGTTGAGTATCCAGTGCATGCCAGGCACTGTACTAAATAATGTATATACAATAGATCAATTTTTATGACCTATTCCCAAAACCAAAGGGAATACAAGGATAAACTATAGCACTTCAAGTACATGGTAATCCTACTTGTGATGAGACACAGAATGATAGTTCATGTTGTCAAATGAAACTGCCTCCCACATCCTCCTCTTCTTTGGCCTCATTTTCTTGGTATTCTCCTTTTATCCTCTTTTTTTTTTTTTTCTTTAATAATGAAACTAAGGAAGCAAATTTCCATGGAAGAGGCCGGCTATAGGGGTCATGATATCATGCATCATCCTGATATCAGGAAAGGAAGACAGTTTGGAAAGAACAAGTTAGGCAGACACTGTTGAGAAAGATAATTTTTATTTTAAAGTTTATTTTGAGAGGAAGAAAGTGTGAGCAGAGAGAGGCAGAGAGAGAGGGAGAGCATCCCATGCAGAGGGAGAGCATCCCATGCAGGATGCACATTCAGCACTGAGGCCGATGCAGGGCTTGATTTCACAAATCATGAGATGACGTGAGCCAAAATCAAGAGTCGGACATTTAACCGACTAAGCTCCCCAGGCCCCCCAAGAAGAATTTTTTAGGTTATATAATGGATTGCCATATATCTTCAGACTCTTGCACTGAATGAGCAAAAATTTTTTAGGTCACCAGGCTGAAAGTAATGGGGTCCCCAGGGCATTTGTGGGCTTAAGGTGGCTTTTATTTAAGTTACTGGTTTATTGTTTTTTGCGTTTAAAAAATTTTTTTTAATGTTTTATTTATTTCTGAGAGAGAGGCAGCGTGAGCAGAGGAGGGCCAGAGAGAGAGGGAGACACAGAATCCAAAGCAGGCTTCAGGCTCTGAGCTAGCTGTCAGCACAGAGCCTGATGCGGGGCTCAAACCCACGAACTGTGAGATCATGACCTGAGCCAAAGTCCGATGCTCAACTGACTGAGCCACCCAGGTGCCCCTTAAGTTACTAGTTTAAAAGCACCTTTAATAACACTAATATCATCATCATCAAATTGCCACCCAACCAGCCTACCTTCTTGCAAAAAAGTGAACTTAGATAACACCTGACCAAGTTTTCTGACTAAGGCTGCATCAGGTAAAAATCTTGTAGTACTGAAGTAAAAAAAAACTAATTGCTTAAGATTCTGAAATACATTCATGAAGGCAAGCCATCCATCACTGCTCACACAATTTCCTGCCAAATCTAGCTGCTGGAAGTTTTTCAAAGGGTTCTTTTCAAAAAATCCACCTGGATGAAAAAAACAGAAATAAGTATATTGGTTGGAAATGAAACAATTTTTTAAGAGAAATGACTGTTTGAACCAGTGTTTTGCTTCAGAAAGAATTTAGAATTCGCTATATAGATAGGGCAGTGATTATGAATCTGTTCTGTTATATTTACAAGTTATATTTGTCCTAAAGTTAAGGGGATCTGATAGATAGTAATTAGTAGCAGTATAGCAAACCAATATAAATGAATTATATATTCTTTCACTTTTCCTGATTCTTCCAGGAAATGGAAAATTGCTTTAAAATTAAAGTCTGAGAGTCACCTGGGTAATTCAGTCAGTTAAGCGTCTGACTCTTGATTTCAGCTCAAGTCATGATCCCAGGATTGTGGGATTGAGCTCTCCGTTGGGCTCCACGCTGAGCATGGAACTGCTTTTAAGATTCTTTCCTTCCCTCTTCCCCCTCTCTCCTTCGTGTTCTTTCTCTTTTTCTCCAATTAAAAAAAAATGAAGTGTGAGAGATGCTATTAAATATTTGTCACCTTTTTCAAAACTAGTCATACTTCAGTCTTAAGTCATTTCCTCTTCTTGAGAAGTAAACACTAACTGTAGTTTCTTTGGGTATGGAATGTTCCTCCTAACTGTAAGCTTGAATAAGTGAGACCCTTTCAGTATCTCAAGATAAAGTTTTTTTGGCATTGCCTTTTTTTAATGCTCCTTAGATTCTTTAGGAACTTCCTCCATTCCTTACAGAATAGGGCACTCCTACAGAGGGAAGGTGGATATCCTAGCCGTGAAGTCAAAGATAATAGCCTAAGGAATAGAGGAGTCAAAGAAAGTAGGTTTCTGGGTCTGAAAGATTGCACAAGACAATACCCATCTGCCTGGATTGCTCACTTTTGGACTGTTAACAGAAGAGGGAAATAAAGTTCTGTCTTCTGTAAGCCATGGTCTCTTGTTATACCAGCTTAAGCCTTGTCCAGCCTCACTCATACACAGGCCCTCACTTTCTCCTTTCTTCCTCCTTCCCCTAAGGAGCCCTTCTTTATTTCTTATAAGCAGCTTTCTCCCTGCTCTCTTGGGCTTCGTATTCATGTCCTTTCAGCCTCCCCCCCTCTTCCATGTGCTTCCCAGCATGGCACGCACTCAGCCAAAATACTGGTTGCCATTTCTTGTGTCTCTGTATAAGGTTCCTTCCCTAAAGAGCAGCTTTTCTCTTTCTCTACTAGCAGGAGAACAGATTTTACCAGCTCACAGGAACTTAACAAAGAAAAATTTAAAGCCAAACTGTTTCTGTAAGCATTGCATTACTTTACATTCCAATCCAGGATACGAAGATTTTAATTTCTCTAAGTCCTATTAACACTTGGTATTATCTGTCCTTGTTATTATAAACACCCTAGTGGGTGGGAAGAGGGATTTCATCATGGCTTTGATTTGCATTTCTCTGGTGGCTAATGATTTTGAGCATCCTTTCTGGCTTATTGGTGGTCTATGTATCTTTGGAGAAACGTCTATTCAGATCTTTTGCCTGTTTTAAAAATTGAGTTATTTGGGGCACCTGGGTGGTTCAGTTGGTTAAGCCTCTGACTCTTGATTTCAGCTCATGTCATGATCTCATGGTTTGTGTGTTTGAGCCCCGCATCAGGCTCTGCCGTGACAGCACAGAGCCTGCTTGGGATTCTCTCTCCCTCTTTGCCCTTCCCCAGCTTATGCTCTGTCTCTCTCTGTCTCTCTCTGTCTCTCTCTCAAAATAAATAAACTTTTTAAAAATTGAGTTGTCTTTTTATCAGTGAGTTCTATGAGTTCTTTATATTCTAGACAATAGTCTAGAAAATAATGATTTGTAAAGTTTTTCTGCCATTCTGTGGGTTCTTTTTTCACTTTCTTGATGATGCTCTTTAAAGCACAACAGTTTGTGACCTTGATGAAGTCCAATGTATTTATTTTTTTCTTAACTTGCGTTTGGTTGTTATATCTAAGACTTTGCCTAACTTGAAGTCATGAAGATTTGCTCCTAGATTTTCTTCCAAATGTTTTATTGTCTCAGCTCTTGTCTTTAGATCTTTGTTGCATTTTAATTTTTTTTACATGGTATGAGGTAGGGGTCTGAAATCATTCTCTTGCCTGTGGTTTATTCAGTGGATATATCTATCCTTATTCCAGTACCACTGGAATTGTAGCAAGTTTTGAACTTGGGAATAGTATGTATTTGAGTTTTGTTCTACTTTTCAAAGATTGTTTTAGCTCTTCTGGGTTCCTTGAGTATTCATATGAATTTTAGGATTAGCTTGTCAATTTCTGGCAAAGAAGCCAGCTGGGATTTTGATAGGGATCACATTG